TGTGCATGGTAAGAGCATAGTCAAGAGGTGTTTTCGTCTTCACAGGACATGTGTCAGAGTAAAATTATTTTACCCTATTTGACTCATAAACTAATTTACCAAATCTTCAATTACTGAATTTGACCAAAATCAATTGAAAACGTAAAACCCAAAACCCTAAATGGAGAAACTCCAACAAGGATAGGCAACTTGAATTAATTGAGTTGTCTTCATTTGGAATTTAACTCATTTTCGTTGTTGTTCCAAAATCATTGGATTCATGTGCTTCTCTTAATGGCATAAACTTGGCATACAATTCATTTTTTGGGAATATTCCAACAAGTTCTGGTTCACTTTCAATTTTGAACTTTCTAAATTTCGCAAATAATCAACTATCTGATAAGATTCCTCCAAACTTTATATCACTATATCTAAACCTTAATTTATCAACTTAGTTGGATACATTCTAAATTCTTTATCAATAAATGTGTCTGTTCGATATAATGAGTCAAGTTAACAAAAAGGGTAGAATTATATGTTTTAATTAGTTAGAGAGTTAGAACTTATTAGTTAATAATTGGAGGATCAAAAGTTAAACTTTGTAATTGTTTGAGAGCCACTAGCATCTCATGAATCCTTTATCTCTGTTAAACATAACTACTCAAGTTGACGGAAGGGTTAGAATTATATGTTTTAATTAGTTGAAGGACTTGTAAAACTTATCACTTAATAGTTTGAGGGCTAAAAGTTGAATCTCTAATAGTTTGAGGGTCATTAGGGCACTTTGCCCTTCTAGTTTTTGATAAAGTGTAGGACGGACAAAGTTTGTTTAGCCATAAATTGATTAATGCATGCAACTATTACCTCCTATTCTGCTTATCACTTGCTTTGCCTACTGATTCTAGAAAATGACAACATCTCTATATTTTTTTTTTTTTTGAGAAAAGTAGATAGATGAGGGAATTTTACATAATTTTTTATTAGAGGAAGGCCAGGGGAGAAGATCGGACAAGTTTAAAAAAATATTAAAATTTGGGGTCAACTGCCGTCATTTGGTGCTTTTGTTATCAACTGGTTGTTAAAATTTAAAAAAAAAATTCACGTTTTCCAAAAGAGGATTGAATAAATTACAAATTGTTTAATAAATTTTTTTTTTTTTGTAATTGAGCCCTTATATATAAGGGGAAACAATCAATAAATCTCAACTCATCTTTAGACATCAAATCAACACATTTTCAGAAAATGAGAGCATTCTACCCATTATTATTTTTTGTTCTTATTCAACATATATTTGGACTAAAATCTGTGTTTTGCAGATCGAACATTCTCCTAGTTGTCTTATTCTCATCCAAAAGCGTCAAAGCTGATTTTTTATGGCCCTAAATGCAATAAATTAATAGGAAAGTAATTACATCCTAATTTAATTTCTCCAAAAGAAAAAAACCTTTTGGCCAAATCCTAACAAAGTAGTAATTTACTAATAAAATATCAATATTTGGTAGCCGTACAGTTACAGTAGGATTTCATACCTTTTCTAAACTGTAATTGTAATTCTTAAGTGCATAAAAAAAAATTGATGAATTCTTTTTTATTAATGATGATACCACATTACTCTAATAAGAGAAATTTGTGTGAATAAAGAATTAATCCTCACATCGTCTAGAATCTCTAGACAAGCAGTTAAGACTTTGCAAACTCAATTATTGATCCCAGAAAAGGACAACATTGCTTGAAGAAAAAACATAGATGAATGGTTGAACTGACCAAAAGAGGACAACTCTGAGTGCTAAACCGGTGATTAGTTTTGATGATGGTTGCATGGAATTTTTCAATTTTATTGCTTTTTTTTTTATTCGTAACGGCATAGCTAGTTTAGCCTAACCAATCTTATTACTTTTTTTTTTTTCAATCTTATTGCTTGAAAAGTTGAAAAGTTCATACCATACATCTAACGAAATGCTAGGGTCATAAGCAGTATTATTAATCTTAATCAAGTCAACAAGTTTAATAATTATGTTACGTACTATTTAGTAGTCGGAAAGAGGGGAATAACTTTGACAAAGCTTTGCTCTCAATTTGAACAAACTTGGTAGTGGTGGTTTCATTAGGGATAATTTCACAAAAAGAAAAAAGTCTAAAGGAGTTAGACTTTTTTTTTTTTTTTTTTTTACAAGTTCGAAATTGACTTATTTGTGTAAATTCTAGCAGTAAAATGTTGACTAAATTTCAGATGGAAATTATATGGTAATATTCGTTCATGATTCAGAACTTAAACTAAATGATGAAAATCTTTCAACCTAGACAAGTGTAGATTAAAATCTTGAAATTGATGCATAACACTCCTAGCATTATGTGCCAAAAAAAACCAAAAAAAAAAGACCGCAACATTCTTGCTTTTGGTATTTAGGTTATACTTGCCGGGAATTAGCTAAGTTTGAATAATCCTGTTATAAATGTATCTGCTATGCCTCGGATAGTGGCTCAGTCAAAAAGGATCTTCGAGCTTTATTCTAAATTTCAATTATAGAACAGGTTAAGCATTGGATTTGTGTGGAGTAATATTCATCAAATACTAGTTCTTAAAATGGGATGATAACATTGACAAGAAGAAACTATTGACTTGTAATTTGTATACTTCTGAAACCTTAACAACTTCACATTTGTAGGAATAAAAAGAAAATAAACCAAAAAGAAAACACCAGTAATTACTGTACACTGTCAGTGTATACACTATTACCGTTAGATATATGACACATGTGTAAAATTTGAATTTGAAATTCAAATTTTGGTCATGTGTCATTTATCTAACCGTGACAGTGTATACACCGACAGTGTATATAAAATTTACTCATTAGTAATTGTCTAATTTAGATGCTTATGAGGTCTGTGGAAATAGAGAAAAGAAGAGACAAAGAAAAAGGTTATAATATAAGTTCATTAAAGGCTAAACCATGCAACTTTAATCGTTATTCCATTGACATCTGACAAAAATAACAGACTAATGTACCTTAGTGTGACTAGTTCTTTCCTAGTGTACAAGAAATTATTCTATAACCTACTATATAACCACTATATACTATTTCAGAGGGAGGGGGAAGGTAACTGACGGAAACTACCGTGGAGGAAGCCACTGATAGTATCGTGGCTGGTGGGAGATCAAACCAGGCAAGATTTGATCTCCTGATCTCTCATCCTCACCAAGACTTAAAACTCGATTTAAAGTCTTAGTGGTGACCAACAGCCCAAGTGGTTGTTGGCTTGAGTTCATCCTATTTAAGGAGTTTGCTTTTGTATAAACAATTTCTGTCACTTTATATTATTATAAAAGAACCCTTTTTATGATTTATGTTTAAACTACTCTCACCATCATCATCATCATCTTTTCCTTCCTTTCTCTCCACCACCATCTTAAATAAAATTACTTCCCCAGAAAAAATGCAATAATCATAATATTCTGAATAATTAAATACATAGGGCGTGAAAAAAAAATGTTAGTCTTGGTAAGATGTAGGACGGACAAAAATTTTTTTTTATAGATAATTCAGAAACCTCCCCTGAGATTTTTGACATTTTCATTGTTCTTTCCTAAAGGTTTGAAAATATCACTTACTTTCCCTATTAGTCATTTAGAACTCAATACTTACCTCAATAATAGTCAAATGACTTTATTACTTTTCCAATTTAGGAGATTTTAGATATCTATATATATGGAGAGAAACTATTACGCCTTGTTAACTAAATTAATGATATTTTAACCAGGAAATCTTGAATACTAAATTTTTTATTGATAATCGTTAACATTTAAAATTATTTTTTCTATATTTTAGTAGTTGTCGTAATTTCTTCCCCAAAAATATAGATAAAGAGATATTTAATTCATCTTCATCTATCTATATTTCATAGATATTTCATGAGAATTACAAGATGATTACCCAAAATACACTTTTTAAATTTTCCTTTTTTAAGTAGGGGCTGGGTGGGATTTAAAAGCGGGTAGTGGCCAAGGGGATTTGAATCTAAAATTTTTAATTCTTTAAATCTCAACCTTAACCACTAAACCAAAACCTCCTCAATATACCCAAAATATACAAAAAAAAAAAGAGTAAAGTATTGAAATATGTTTACAAATTAGATCTTGTATAGTAATGGACAAAATGTAACCATACATAATCTTTTCACTTCCATTTGTTTCCAATATATTGGTGCTTCTTCTCTTCTCATTCCATATATAATCCAAACAAGATGGATAGAAATATTTTTCCTCTACTTTTATTTCGTTTCTTTCCACTGAAGTCATTTCCTTTCCATTAATCCAAACATTACCTAAGAGTGAAGTCATTTTTTGTTATTACAAATGATGAGAATTTCTTTGTCAATCGTGCGAGATAATGACTCGTAAGTGACAAGAATAAGTTGGATCATTTCTGAATTGAAAAGCATGACATAATTAACCATATTTTATACTGTTTATTTTATTAGTATTTGATCATGGCGTTTCTTCTTGAGAAGGCCATAGTTTATGTCATCTGATTCTTGTTCAAACTCTCACAAATTTCAGTACTAACTGCAGGAATTCTATTCCTAAATCTTGATTCCAAAATAACAAAATTCTTTGATTTTACTATTTTATGTATATCTATGGAAAGTAGACAGAATAACTAAATTATGCTATGCTTATGTTGGTGTTGTAATTTCCCTCAACGACATTGACACTGACTGACTTTGGTCTTTATTTTCCATTTTTACCTAATATTCTCTTTTGATTCTTAGTTAGCTAACTAGTTAATAGTTGAGGGCACTTGTGGAATCAACTGTTCTTCTCATTTTTGAAATCTTTTTTTTTTTAAACTTTGGCGGTTAATGATATTTTTGAAACGTCTAGAGAGAGCAGTGAAATTATCAGAAATCTCAGGAGAGGTTTCTGAAATCATTCCTTATTTTAGTAATAAATAGATAATGCATGCGGAAATAAGAGCATTACCTCGTATTTTGCGTACTTGCTTGCCTACTGATTCTAGACATAGAAAAACAGTCCCCATGCATATATCACTCAAAAGTTTTTATGTTCAAAAAGACAGTCTTGGCGATTATCTTGTTATTGTAATTTGTAAATAACACTACATGTACACTGGTTTTTTGGTACAGATGGCTCTGGAGGGCATAAGTGCCTTTTACCAGCTGCCCAACCCATAGTTTTGCAACAGGAAGAAGTGAACCTGTATAAGAGATCTGATAAGCTTGAGAGGAGGCTAGAACGCGAGCTGAACTTGCTATCTGAAATAGAGATGAAGTTTGAACAGAGATTCACTAATGAAGAGTCGCAGACTTTTCTTGGCCCACAGCATCCTTTGTCAGTGAAGCGAGCTGAAGTATTGAAGAAATATGTGGATGATGAGAAGTCCAAGTTTATAATCTCTATTCAAATCATGCAAGCCATGATTTTGAACAACTTACAAACGAGCGTCCCTGATGTGTTTTGTGCGTTAATGGCGTTCTCAAATTCATACGCTAAAAGCTTTGACATGGTGCTTAGTATGGCTGTCTGCAGCTGTCCAGTGGGAAGATACCAGCCAAATCCCCCTGTCGATTAATGTGCATGGACTCCCTTTTCAACTTGTTCTCTTGTTCATCTCTCAGTACTAAGCTGCGTAAGTACTCAGCATTTGCAGCTCCTGTACTTTGAACCATCTTCGACAAAGCACTTCCTTTATTGAGAAGCAGCTTCTCAGGTGTATCATATTCCACTACCTGCAAATGGATTCTCTGAGTCCCTCATGGCAACTACAGAAAGTATGTACTCTTGACTGAAGTTGGTTTTATTTAAACCATATACGAAATCAGTTGGAAAATATCTGATCCTTGGTATACCTGACCAGCCTCAAGCACCAGGATCCGGTCACTGTCAATGATAGTATTTAGCCTGTGAGCAATAATGAGCATTGTGCATGACTTAAATTCTTCTCGAATAGTTTTCTGGATTAGTGCATCGGTTCTAACATCAACAGCTGCAGTTGCTTCATCAAGGATGAGAATCTTTGATCTCCGGAGCAGTGATCGAGCAAGGCTAAGCAACTGCCTCTGCCCAACACTGAAGTTCTCACCTCCTTCTGAGACCTAAAATCAATCCCAATACATTTAATTTTCCATTTAACTTGTATGCAGCATGAACTATGTAGAAGAATTTGGAAGTCTGCATACACCACAATGTTATTCATCAGCTCCCTTGCATGCAAATTACCTGGAAATGTTGTTGGGCATCAATGTGAAACAAAAGCTGATAGTTTTTTTTTTAAACTATTTGATTAGATTCTACCTGTTAAAGAAAAAATTCCAGCATCCTTTAAAAGACATTGAACTCATTTCCCCTTTTTTTTTTTTTTCTGTCAGGAAGTTGAGTCATTAGAGCGTTAGTTTTTCTACTGCAGGAGTGTCAAAGAATCTGGATCTCTTGAGTGTAAGTGGACATAGAATTTAAGCAGCAGTGCAGTTCTGGGGACTAGTGAAAACAGATTTCTAGCTCTCTGAATCATATTCTCAATATTATGCCCTGAAGAGGACTCGAACCTCCATGCTCTTTAGCACGAGATTTTGAGTCTCGCGTGTCTACCATTTCACCACCAAGGCATGAATCGTATTCCATGAATATGATATCTATCTAGTGTGATGTATGTTCAAAGGAGTCTGGTAAATTCACTATGTACATGTTACGGCATACATGAGCAAACAAGGAACAAATGGGACTTCCATGACAAAGTATAAGTTGAAAGCATGAAGGCATTACAATGCCAATGGAAAATGTAGTCTTTAAGTTGACACAAAATTATTGATCAACTACATCAACCATAGAGCTTGTACTGATCAAAATCTGGATGCCAACTCGTAAGACGTTAAATTTGCTAAGCCAGGGATTGAAGAAAGGAAGATGAGGACCATTATCATTCCATTTGAGTTATCAATGCATGGGAAGACCAAAATAGTTATTATCCCCGGTAACCTGCATGATATTGGAATATAAGTATTCAATGTGTACCTCGGCATCCAGACCAAAAGCATTTTTCTGAATGACATCCTTTAGGTGTGCCCGCTCTAGTGCCTCCCAGAGATCAAGATCACTATGTTTATTGAAGGGATCCAGATTAAATCGCACAGTTCCTGGACAAACAAAGAACCACCATTCAAAATCCTCAAAAACTTTACTAAAATTAATAGTATAAATTATACTTGAATGCAAAAGTGGAATCTAATTCCAGAGAATTTAGATTTACTTAAACTGATAAAAAAGCTAAGCATAACTTAACTTCACTGTCAAGGTTTTACATATATATATTCTCATCTGCATGCGTGCATTTTAGCCAAACTTCACTGCAGCACCGTGCCAAAGTTAATGCAGTGGTTTTGGAGTTCGAATTCAGCAGCAGGCATTCAATCTCAGCTTCAAAGAAGGCATATGCATATGAAACTGAATATGATACAGGCCTCATTTGACATGTATACATCTAAGTGGAATATCAATTTCTCATAGTCATACTTTGAGGTTAGAAGAATTTCAGGTATAATAGGCTTGGCCTAATCAAAGGTGCATCGTTTGAAATCAAATTGGCTGTTTGTTGAAACCCCGTTAACCTAAAGCAGAAAGTGTCACCAGTTCTATTCTTCCCGACATTCATCTGCATAAGCAGGGCAAGAGTATTGAGTTGTGGTTGGCTGCATACATTGCAGTATTGAGTTGTGGTTGGCTGCATACATTGCAGTTATACACTTGAACTTTACTACTTGAAGCAGAGATATGCAGAATCTTATTTTCTTATGATGCGTAAACATGTTCTTGAGATGGAAAGGCATTAGCAAGTATAAAATAATGAGAACACAGTATGAAAATCTCTGCACAGCTCTCACCCCAATATAACATATGAACCCCAATAGTCCACATCCCAGTCCCCAGTCAACAAGAATGTATGAAAAATCACAATCCTTCCTTTTACCAGAGCTTCTCAAAAATATAACGTTCTAGTTATGGAGAGAGCTTCAATTGCACAGACTATTGAATTAACTAAAATCATTTGATAAAATAGAAGAAACACAAGATCTCAAAATAAAGTAACAGAATGGGTAACTTAACAGAATGGGTAACTTAGTAGGTTTTACCAGAGAAAAGAACTGGTGATTGTGGTATAATGCTAAGAACTCTACGTAGATCAGTCAATCCAAACTTTAAAATGTCGCAACCATCAATCAAGATTCTCCCTCTTTCAGGTTCTACAATCCGGAATAAAGCATTGAGCATGCTGGATTTTCCTGCACCAGTTCTTCCAATTATACCGACCCTCTGAGTTGGAGAGATTGTGAAGGACAAGCCAAGTAGGACAGCAGGGAGCCCAGGCCTGTAGCGAAGGACAACATCTTCAAATTTGATTAGTCCTGCTGAAGGCCATCCAGGTGGAGGCCGATTGCTTTCAATAATATCTGGAGCTTCAGCTGGTAAATCAATATATGTTCCCACACGCTCAACAGAATTCAAACTATTTTCAGCCCTACTTGCTTGTCTTAAAACATTACCCAACAAATCTGTAATGTTTAAAGAATAACTAAGCAGCAGACCCATTGTGGATGCAAATGCAACCTTGTTTTCTGCTCTTCCATTCTGCATTACCGCAAAGGTTGCAGTCAACCAGATCATAATACCTCCAAGGCTTTCCAGCCTTATGTTGAGCCAGCGATTGGAACTTGTATTCACAAGAGTGAACCTGAGATTATTGTCCATAGTTTTTCCATTGATGTTTGCCAACCGGTCATATGCTTTATACGCACGAATGGTTGATAAACCATTTAAGGCTTCTCCAAATTGTGCATACACAGGAGACCTGGTAATGGAATCTAGACGTTTCACTTCCCGAGACGTACTCTGTGGGACATCAGACATCATGTGTAAAGGTTCTAAAAACATAGTACTGGGAGAAGGTAATAGAATAAAATAGTAGAGATACGAGCATTATTATTAAATCTGGCCCGGTTCGACGGTTAAACCGGTCAATCCGGTCAACCAGCCATGAAACCGGGTTGGGTTGCTAATTGGATCATTTGAGCAATAGATCCGTTGATTTGTCAACGGACCAAATGGTTCAACCGGTAATCTCGATGAACTGGCCGATTTTGTAAGGAACGCGAGTTATTGTGTGAAAATTTTTTAGAAGATATTAAAGAGATGGTTCGAACATGGAATCTCACATATAGGAGAAAAATGCAATCACCACTGAACCTACAATCCATTTGTGGGTTGTTTGGTCCTTCTTATATTATATATTAGATTTTTATTCTTATTTTATTTCTCTAAAACAAAATTTATTTGGAATCTTTTAATAAAATTTTGTTATTCCCCAAATTCTATAAGTTATGAAATGGATTTAAAAAATAACATATTACACAATTTATTTTAAAGGTAAATATCATTATTAATAACCTTTTGCACTTAAAATTCGTAAATAAATTAGATAATTACACTTACAATTTTATATTTGAAGTTTGGTGGATTACTAATTAAATTTAGGTATTGTTGATTCTTATAAGAATTAATAATTCTATAATAAATTAGACTAATCGAACATTTATTATGGCATAGTTTATTATAATTTCAACCGTATCAAAAATTATGAGACATAATATTTAAGTATATTTAGTGATCCACTGCTTAGACCATTCATCCACTAATTGGACCAGAAACCCGTTGACATACCTCTTTCTCTAGATTCCTGCTTGGGCCAAGTTTAATAACTATAGATATGAGGTGATATATGTTTTTAAGAGAAGCATGAGAGAACTACTCATCAGATTGTGGATATGTGGATTGATTTTACGAATTTGAAAAACCATAGATACCATAAAACAAAAGTAAAATTACTAAATTTATGAGTACTTTTGATCTGAACATAGTCCTCATGAGAAAAATGCAATAAAAGTGGTGCAGACAATTATAAGACTAAAATGGATAAAATTGGATGAAAAATTCAAATTGTGCTATCTGTGCGATGCAGTTGGACAGGAATGACAAAGTATGCCAAATTAAACTTATATAAAGCAACACATTTCTACCATGAATTCAGGTTTTAAAGCCTTTCTTAAGAAGACATGGAAATACTTGTCAATTTTTATCACCAAAAAATGTCAACGAAATGTAGTTATTATCCCAAATCTCAAGTCAGCTATTAGGCACTGGATGTTTAAGCTCAACAGCCTTTTATTCAGTTTCCTATAGCTTTTGGAATTCCTCTTTGTCATTTCAAGAATAAAACTGAACATGTCGTTTTGTTTACTACAATATCATCGGCTAGATAGTTTGTAGGGATCAAGCAATTCTGTGTTTTATCTGGTTAAGAAACGGCAATGGGACACCATATAATACTAAGATCCTGTTTCAGCCTCGATGAAGTTGAGGTCCCAGGTATACCTTCTTCAGCATCCATAAGTTTCCAATATCTATAGAATTAGTACTTTGAAATTTGGAAATGGATAAATAGCAGAAGCAAAACCATATTTACAACATAAGGCTTCGGCAAGATATATCATTCAACAGCTTCTTTAATTCTTTATTATTATTATGACGTATCTTATGCCTTTATATCTGCCAATTCTGAACATATCTTAAGAAAGCATACCTCAAAATGCTTGCACTTCAAAGGTTTGAAAATAAATCTGACAGTCTGACAGAGTAGCTCGAATTACATAAAGGCATTTAATCTTTGACTGAGTAAATGTTTTGTTCGCTCATCATTTTCCTAATGTTGCTGCGAGTTCTATACTCTGATGAGTATGCCCTGTGACCTTAAATATCCTCTTTACCACATAATTTCTCAATAAGATGCAGCGGTTTTCTTTGTCTGGCATATATAGGATTCTTCTGCCAGCAGTTCAGATTGATGACAGTTTCAATAGCTATTTCTTAAACTAGTTCTTGAAAATATGAAAATTAGTCGAACATAGTTTGAGATACTCTCCAAGAATATCTTAGCCTCTAAACTACCTTAAACTCAACTTTAACTCCAAGTATATTAATATCATAAAATCCTATGAAACTTCTCAGCTCTTAATTGTTATTACAAGTTTCTAATGGTCCCTCGAAATTCCACATTAAATTTGGCTAGGGCCAATATATCGTATAAGATTCTGAATACCATTGATAACTTGTTATTAAATTTTTGGATAGTCTAACTTTAGTTGACTCTTGAAAAGGTTGTTTGGAATGTTGAGATGTTATATGCAGCAAGAAATACACAAACAATTGTTGACCATTCACCCAGGTCAACGGGAACACAGCACAGAAGAAAGCATATAGACCCATGAGAAAATAGTAGGCATACAAAAGGATAGAGAAAACCAACCTGAAAATATAAGTAGGCGGCATAAAATACAATCAGAAGTGGCATGATGGCCCAGAGGGATACAGTGCTCACAACACCGATGAGCACAAACGTTGACAGAAGCTGCCACAGTTGGTTAAGAAACATACTTGCAAGATTAGCAACATTACGATCAATATCACCAATATCCTTCGAGAATCTGTTTATAATTCGTCCGGTTGGATTAGTGTGGAAGAAAACCATTGGAGCCTTGAGTATTGAATGTAACATAGAATCATGGAGTCTTTTAGCTGCATTGAGACTTGATGTGATCAACCAAAAGGATTTTGCCAATGCCACCACCACCTGCATTTAGTAATAACAGAATAAGCCTCTGTTGAATTTGCTGTGATGTTTCAAAGCCTTTGATGCATCCCAAAGACCCTGAAGCCACAAACAAAACAAACAGACAAAAGAGAAAAAGAGTGACCAAGTGGAAATAAAAGGAACAACATTGCAAGCTTTAAAATATTCCTTTCCATCTTTCTTGGAACGGAGAGTAAAAGGCACTTCACGTAGATAGGAAGTTACGGATTTGATATATAGATAGAGGACTATAAATCAATAGCCCCTTTGGCTAGTAGAGGTTACAGCAATCAAATAACAACCAGAAACGATGACCTTAAACAATTAAAATACCTTTTGGATGGTCAAAAGAACACTTTTCTACCATGCAAGACAAACAAAAGAAAAACATGGGTGTTAATATCACAAAGGAGAGCTGAAAGAGCAGATGAAGGCTGATACTCTCATTTGAAAATTTGTTATGCCATCAATTAAATAATCTACTCCATTCATACCTGACCAGAAGATAAAAGTGCATAAACCAAAATGTAGAAACCCAGCCTATAGTTCTTTACAGCACTTTCCCTTGTCCACTTGCTTAACCATGTGCTGCTCAGAACTCGAAGAACTTCAGTTAGTGTATAGCACATGAACAGCACCATGACAACCCATATGCCTCCTAAAGCTTTTTCATACCTGTTGATTAAATAAAATGCCAACAAAAATTTCACCAAAATGATCATGATTCCTAAAGCACCACTAGGTCTCTGTGTGGAATTGCTACAAAGGAAGCTGAGTTGACCTATTAAATGGCATAAATGCCACTGCAACAAGGGAACCAATTAAGAACAACTGGCTGTGTTTATTCTGTGGACTGGTATCCGCACCTTAAAGTAAGATTGCTTTCTAACAGTGCTGAATTTATGTCTTACTTTGGTGTGGATCTTTCTAACAAGACATATGTATGAGTATTTTTTGCAGCCCTTTTAGAGGAAAAAACATCTAATTCATTGATGGTGAACTGTATGTAGCATGTGCATGCATGTCGTTTAGAAGCATGACTACGTCAAAAACATAAAATGTTCCCACGAATACAACAGAAACTACCCTTTTGCTCTTGATCTTGAAGACTGGTAGAGAACTCACAGAAATTGCCTAGGAATGTGTGCTGAATCTTCCTTTCTCACTTAATTTCTTTCTTGCCCTAGCTATCTAGACTACCGTTAGAAAATGTAATTCCCATAGATTTGCAGGTATTGCTTGCATGATAAGGACATTATGCATAATTGGCATATAAGTTATACCCACCATGTTTAGTTGCTGCCCATTCTTTTCTTCTTGTTGTTGAGGTCATTACTTTTGGTTCAATATAGGATGTATTTTCGAATGCAAATTATCAAACTATATGAGGACAGATGTGTAATGTTTATGTAACTTGGCTTAAATTAGGCAGTTGCTTGACCTCTCAAAATATGAGCACTAGACGTTCATAGAGACTTTACATTTTCTTTAGAGCTATTGTAATAAAAATTTTCAAATAAAGCAAATGTCATTAATGAATTAGTTTGAGGTGATAAAGTGTTGAAAGAAACAAAAAGTGCAAATTTGAGAGACTGGAAATCATAGACTTTAACCTAAGAGCTGTAAGGTACCTTGTTAAAACTTTCCAGCTGACAACACCTGTCTCTCTCTCTTCTTGCTTGATTAGAACAGATTCAACTTCCTTCCTTGTACTCATTGAGTCAGTGTCCTTTGGCTGCTCATCCAGTATGCCAAAAGATTGTGAAGATTTACAGCTAGTAATTGTGACATCTCCATTTTCTTCAATATGTTCTTCCATTTTTCCTGCATTATCCATTAGCTTTTGGAAAAGCGTGCCATCTCTGGAAAGCTCTTCAAAGGTGCCCTGCTCTTTCACCGTACCTTCAGATATCAAAATAATTCTATCCACCTGTGGAAGAAAATGTAGCTGGTTTGTCACAAGCACCCTTGTTTTTCCTTGCAATTCTTCCTTAATACATTTGTTGAAAACCTGGAAATAGGCAATCTAGTCAATCAGATCAGGAAAATGTCTTGCTGCAAACACAAGTTTTTGATAATAAATAACAGTGTAGCATACAGATGCTTGTAAATCCAAAAGAACTATCATGTTGTTGCATCCAAAAATTACTTGAGCTGCAAAATGAGATAGATATGATGCATGCACACTTTCAGATTCTGTGAACATTAGAACCAAAGTTTATGTAGTAGTGTGTTCTGCAAGATATAGAATTAGTTTATGGATCAACTAGTAATCTGAAAATGGTCTAATTTATGGAGACTCAATTGATGTGAAAGGAAACTAATTAAATAAGAGCAAACACAAGTTTTTGATAATAAATAACAGTGTAGCATACAGATGCTTGTAAATCCAAAAGAACTATCATGTTGTTGCATCCAAAAATTACTTGAGCTGCAAAATGAGATAGATATGATGCATGCACACTTTCAGATTCTGTGAACATTAGAACCAAAGTTTATGTAGTAGTGTGTTCTGCAAGATATAGAATTAGTTTATGGATCAACTAGTAATCTGAAAATGGTCTAATTTATGGAGACTCAATTGATGTGAAAGGAAACTAATTAAATAAGAGAGTTTCCATCCTCACAAGACACAGATTTTAAGCAAGAAATTGCAGCTAAAGGACCTTGACATTGGATAATTCCAGTCAAGGAGTAGGGTATAGGCATTAAAAATAATATAAGTTTCTAGCTAAATGTAATTAGATAAGAGTAGAGAACAAGAATGACTGCAGATATTTCTTATGCTGAAGCAGTCACACCATTTCACCTTTTTTCTAATTTCTCTTCTAGCAGAATATACTTGCAGAAAGTAAGAATCACCTGTCGTCCAACTTGTGCATCTAGAGCACTCAAGGGGTCATCAAATATGTATACATCTGAGTCAGAGTACACAGCCCTTGCCATAGAGACTCTCTGCTTTTGTCCTCCACTGATATTAACTCCTCTTTCGCCTATCTCTGTAAGGTCATGACCCTGGAAAGGCAATTAATTATGATGCTGTAGATGCAAGGTAAATGACAAAACTACATGAGCTAAGAGGCTTAACTGGAAGTAACTCAAGATCATGCTGCAATGCTGTAACTTCTATAGCTTTCCAATATTGGGCAGGTTGAAAGCTAGACCCGAACAGTATGTTTTCTCGCACCTGCAAAATGATTTGAAGATGTATTTGAATCTCTATAACAAACTAGTAGATGTCAAGCTCCTTAATAGTTATTTTACTTAATATTTTTGGTAAACATTTATAAATAATGTCTAATATTGACATCTTGACTCTTACTGTGGCATTGAATATCCAAGAAATTTGAGGAACATAAGCAACAGTTCCTCTAATGACAACGTTTGTATCTCCTAAAGCCGGAAGTTCCCCAAGCATTGCTGATATTAGAGATGTCTTTCCTTCTCCAGTGCCACCAACAACTGCCACAAGGCTGCCCACTGCTATATCAAGATTTATATTTGATATGGTGGGACTTTCAGCCTGAAAAGGAGTAATGAAACATGAAATTTAAGAGAAGCATTTTTTTTTGGGTCAATAAAATATTCAAAGGCTAAAGTTATAATACTCCATCTCAAATAAAAGTTCAAATAGACAGTATTTTAATTGGATGTTTAAAGTACATCGCAAGCACATTCATTTGCCAAAAGCAAAGTCAAATTTCAGTAACTTTTGAATTTGCATGAGATAATCGTGACATCTGGAGAGCAGCTCATTAGCTTCCCTTGTCCCTAAAAACTAAATGCAGTAACTTAGGAAGAGTACTTGGCATTCAAAATAATTGATAGTGCACTAGAAGAAAGGTTAAGAGAAACACAAAAGTAATAGTCACTAAGCTTTTCAGACAATCAGCTCTAAGGATTTGCTCATCGATTAAAATTTGACCAGAGGTTTCCTTTCAGAGTGAAAGATTTGTGATGCAATTAAATTGACATATGCTGTAGAAACTCGACAAATAGAAAGAAGATTGTTTCATGCATTCATATTCTTTTACTCTGCATTACTGATCCTCTGGTTGTTAAATCAAGAGTTCAGAATCAAATGAGAATTTTAATTATGAACGCAATAAAAGTTTTATAAAAAATCTGAATTTTCCTTTTTTTTTTTCCATGTGGATTAAGAGTTTAAAAATTAAACACATTAGAGATATGGACAGTCTACAGAGATATAAGGAGGAAAGTACGACCTTAGGATCCCATGAAAAGTATCCATCCTTGATTGAAATGGCAGGAAGGCCTGGTTCCCTAGGTGGATTTGGTGAAAGGATTCTTTCTTCAGCTATGAACAATTCCTCCAGCCGTTGTAGTGATACATTTGCATTTACCACCTTCCAAAGTAGAGCAAGAAAACTTAAATTAGAATAGATGGAGCAATAAATAATGTTCTTATATTATTTAAGGATCTTTGATTATTCAACAAAGTATAATAAGTTGGCTAAAAATGGAAGTCTCCATAAGTAGGCTGCAACAAACTATAACAAAGAGAAAAGAAGCAAGCAAATAGCAAGAAAAAGGGAAAGTATCCCTTGGAAAAATGTCAAACTGGTGTCTGAAAGCATCATAATGCACAGAAAAACATAAGAGGGAAAAAGAAGATTAGACTCAAAACAGTTTCATCAGCTATTTTATGGTTTCCAGGAAACATGTAATATAACTAGGAATATTTGTCTCCGTAACCATGCTGTACTATCCACAAGGAAACTTCAGATATCAGACTACTTAATACAAGATTTAATCAGAAGAATTGGTTATTCCCCTAAATGGCCAGCCATTATTTTTTTTGTTTCAAATCTTGAATAAAATTGGCATCTTGGCCTAGGCAATATGCAAAGAATAATATGCCCATGTTTAAGCATTCAGTAATTTTCAGTATACGTGGTTTTTTTTTTTAATGTGGAACACAAACCTTGTGCAATTCTTTTCAAGCACTCAAGCACAATCTACTTGTTTTTCATGTGGATGACTAAGATTGTAAACCAGTCATGGACAAAAGCTTCAGTGCTTTCTGATAAGTTGATTCCCGTGGCAAGAATACCTTTTGAAAAATAGCCATATCCTTTAGATCTGAAAATTTAGCTACTTTAAGTTTTATTTGTCTTTTCCTGGAAGCATTCTGTTAAGTTTCATTAACTTAAATCTCAATATATTGCTCTCTGTACATAACTGGTCACACTCAAGTCTCAACCTTTCTTAGAAAGCACTGTTAAAGCATTCTGTTCAGTTTCATTAACTTAGATCTCCATATATTATTCCCTGTACATAACTGGTCATACTCAAGTCTCAACCTTTCATAGAAAGCACTTTTTCCACATAATAATTTACTGCTCCAAACACATTTTTTTTTTTTTTCATAATAATGTGGATGCCTGAATTTCAAGGAACTAAAATGTTAGGCCAATATTGTTGACTTGCCTGCATGACTGTTTGTAAATGAAAATTTGATACATGTAACTCCAATAAGTTACGAACACAAAAGAAAAGAAACTCCAACTCTGCAAATCCATATTTAAACAAAGCAATGAATTGCAACCCAAGGTGCAAATAAAATGTGAACAGATGAGTTAGCAACATGCCAAAGAAGAAATACCTGAGTTATCAAGTTGGGAAGCATGTTCAAGGGAAAACGCAGAACAGCAAAAAGAGAAAGAGAGGTAAACGCCCGGGCAGGTGTCAAATTTCCACCAAGATAAGTGAACATTCCGAACGAAACCACAGTTACAAGAACAGGGATGCTGTTTAATATGAAAGTGTTACACTGCAATTCGAGGAACATAGAGATAATCAGGGAGTGGACAACAATTAAGCACTTAAAAAATTGTAAACATGATGCTTTAGGAAATTGAATAACTATCTAATATATCACACTCCTACTAAATATCTGGAGCATGAAAGTTTGGAAATGAATAGAAGTATTATTGAAGCCCGCTATCACTGCCAATAGGAGAAACATCTAGGACACTGTAGCTTTTGATGATTTGGTTCAGACATCAGAAGGGTCCAAATTCAAAGAAACGCACTATTGAGCTGAACTTAACTTACCCAGTCAGTATTTAGAAACTGTGATCAGACAATTTTAGGTCTACTTACTTAGATGCAATTGCAATCATCAGAAAACATAAGCTACATATGCAGGAGCAACTTATAAGCTAACAACTGAACAATATTATAAATGTCTGAAACAGACCAATGTTTTTCAGGGTCAAAATGTTTTGATAGGCTAAATGAGGTTTCCTGATTCAGCTTGACTTTTACATAGATTATGAATTACCGCTGCTAGCAACTGTGCTTTCTTGAACCATGAGAGTTCATCATTCCTCATGCTCAGGATCTTGGACTGAAAGCTCTTCTCCCACGCATAACATCTGATATAAATAACCATATCATCATCAGTTGTTTAATAGAACTAATTAAAATTATAAGCAACCTTATCCATTTTGTGCCTTACTTAACCGCATCCATGGCCATTAAAATTTCATTGGTTAGACCAACTCTTTTGTCAGTACGCAGCAGTCCTTCCTTGGATAGTTTTCGCATCTTGCTTACAATATAAGTCTGTATCAAAAACTAAATTAGAAAATCAAGCATTTTATTGCGGTGGAATGAATTATATCCCACAGGAAACAAGAAACAATGCATAGTACAGGAATAAGAGCCCACATGTCAAACATTTTGAAGGATGCCAACATGTGCATGAGTATTAAAAAAAATAAAAATAAAAAGCCAAGTGAGGAGAGATCACTGGCCCAAAATGCTGAACACCTTCAGAGTAGAAGTATGTAAAGCTAACCAAATATATTGACATAATGGGTGGATATTGTCTGTGCTCGGACGTAAAAAAAAACTCAATTTTCTTAACAAACATGTATTCTGGATTTTGTAATTGGAATTTTTCCTGAATGTTTCACACAGAAAAGAAAATGCTTCGAGTATTGTCTTCTTTTAGCCAAACCAAATTTACACATATTCTTGCCCAAACATGTAAGACCCTTCCAATGCTCCTGAACATTTACTTCAAGTGTTGAAATTACAGAATGTGTTTGCTAACTTATATGTATGGTACAACTTTGAAGAGATCATTTTGAATCAAATTTGTCTTCCTAAACATTATAATAGCTTGGTGTATAGTTCTTGATTAAGCATTGCTTACTAATAGTTCAGAAAGCATGCACTAATAAAAAATGAAAGAGGTAACAGTTGTAGGACAATGTGACCTAAATTCCACTTACATAGTGCATACTAGAAATCTTATTCTAAATTAAAGAAGGAGCAGTTGCAAATTAACCCACTAAAATACTTGGTTTGGAATGTACTCCATAGTCCACTGATCCCAAAAGAGACATTGATGCACAAAAGTTAATGGAATTGTGGCTTAATAATCTTTTTACCTGAATGGGAAACATTAGAGCCAACATAAGAGAACCAAGAATTGATGCCACCCCTAACTGCTGGTATAGAAGAACCATGGCTATCAAAATTCGAAATGGAGCTGACCATAAGCCATGAAGTTGGCAGCATATTTGCTAAAAACAATCATAGATCACTTAGTAAACATAACGCATGAATAAAACTATGAAAATTCTTGCACAAAATGTAGACAAACACAAGTATAAACATGACAAAAAATTGAGTCTACGCTGAAAATGCATGACTCCATTAAAATACTTAATTATTGCTAATTCATCTCATTCAAGATTAGTTTAACCCATCTTCACCAAATCAATAATGTTGGTTCCAGTGATGTTCTGAGACTGATAGTCTGATTAGATTTCCTAGCCACAAGAATTACAATAGAAAGGTACATGTTTCCGAGCCAGTGATAATGGTTTTACCCATTAAGCCAAATCATACAACTCTAACATCAACAAAGATTTGATGTTTTACAAATTAGCATATCCAATGGTGTAGAAACAATTCTAAAACATTTTCTTATATATACAGGTGTCAATAATTATTCCGGCCACTAAGAAAATATGAAAAACCTTTACTGCTTTTTTGAGTGCTAATCAACCAGAGATGGTGTTAGCTTCAACTTATATGTGTTCTTTTTTTTTTTTTTTTTTGTAATTCATTCCATAGTCCAGCTTAATATAGACTTTGGTGTTTTAGCCCATTGATGCAATCATTAGCTAAATAAAGTATTTAACACCAGTGAAAGAGATATTACTGCTAGTCTGGATGACCATTCCAGAAAATTTCTGAAACCAATGGTTGTTGATATGTATTCTAGGTAGATGATAATCATAGTTTGGAATATAAATCTATGTCATGGACTCATCGCAAAATTTCTCCTTAATTAATTGTTCGGTGGATACAGAGGATGACAGAATATTCAAAAGCCTACTCTAATCTAACTCAGTTGTTTGGGTGCAGAACTTAGATTAACAGCTCTATCATAAAAGAGAACAAAAGCCAACTAAAAGAAGACCAGACTCTGGCGACAAGCTTCTCACCCATTAAATATGGTTATAATTAAAATAAAAAATCCACGTCAGTACCTGAAGTCCATTAGCATCGGTTGTTATCATATTTGTTATTCTTCCGGATGAGAAGCTCTTGCGACTCTCATGTGTTAGCCTCAAAGTTTTCCAAAAAATAGCAGCTACCTACAAATGCCAACAGTATATATTCCAACTCAGACAAAAAATGCTTCAGCATCAGAAAACAGGACAAAATAAAATGATATCATTATATGAACTCAGCTTCCGACTTTCTTTGATACCAGGCAGAATGGTAGATTCTCTTCCTATCACCATACAGATAAAAACAGAAAAAGAAAGACGGGGATAACACAGACCTTGCATCAAAAGCCAGGAGTAGAAAGAACAACATGAAAAGACTAACTTGAACTGCTAAGCTAAAAGGCAAGAATCTGAACCTATGGTCGAGTATGGAACAAAACTTGATACTTTGTTTGACAATGATGTTAAGCATTCTGCATAAGATGAAACTTGTTTCTTGATTAACTTACACAAACCACAATGTTATTTCTTTCAGCTTGACATTCCTCTCGTTAACGTAGACATCAAGAGGAAGACTCGTGTACATGTTTTTTCAATTTCTTTTTCAGTGAAAATAAAAAGGTGTTCCATAACACACTATGCTTTCAGACAATTTATTTGTTATAAAAACCATTTGGGAGAATTGGATAAAAGAATAGAGAATAAGATCCTATATTCTCAATCCTTCCATGTCAAGGTTAATAGAAATATCAACCATATAATACCTACACACCCTGGAAAAGCTAAAGATTCAACGAACATCAGGGTAGGACTAGTTTGTGTATTTTCCTATTAATGTGTTGAAGTTTAAAAGAATTTTTTTTGCACATGTATGATGGGGCAATTGATAAATGAACTACTTGTAGTTAAAACATTGATAGATGAAAACTGAATTAGAATGGAAGTGGAATTCAAAGTCTGATGAAATAAAGACTCAGTGTCTCTACCGAGCACTAATCAACCTTCAAAGTCATTACTTGTTGAAGGATCAATTTCACAGGAATACCGGCCTGATAACTTACTGGAATCTCTTGCTAGCTTGACATCTTATCAGTAGTAGCCAGCCCAGTCCAGTTAGCATCCAAATTTATGCAAATTATGTAATGCAAAATATTCCGGTCACCATCTCCCCATGAAATCCCTCTGATATTCTGACATTCACACAATGTGCTCATGCCTACCGATATCAATTGTTAATGACCTAGGTGGATTATCAGCCCAGCACATTATTGGCCACTCAATATTAAGCCCAACATGCTATTACTATTGCACATTAAGTCTTATAATACATTTCAGAAATTTTCCAACCATCCACTGCAGGACATATCATGAAGTCATGATTGCATATCTTAGAAGGCCAATACCACTATGATGCACATTTTATCTAGTAGGCTAGTGATTCTGGCTTGCCAATTCATGCACTCTTTCCTTTCTCCAAACCTGCGGCTGGAGTTGCAGATAGATTTGGCGTCCAACCATGCTTTAGTCATTCAGTCTGTGGTTCGATAGATCCACATACAAATGTGTTTTCACAACATTCAAAGCACAAAAGCATGTAATCACAAGAACAATGAGCAAAGCAACATATGAAAAAAAGGCAATATTTGGTGCTCGCAATTTAGAGAAGGAAGGATAATTACCAAAGTTGATCTTAGCCTGAAACCAACACGCATCATGTTCTGAAAGTACTGAGATTCACAAAGAACTCCAAATGACTGAAGAAATGGAAAAGGGGTTAGTTTATGACAGACCAATAAATCTAAAATGAGCAGCTTAGATTCGTAGTGTATCATGAAGAAATGGAACGTGCAAATACAGAAAGATTCTTGAAAGAAATTTAAATTGAAAATATGTCATTTAAATGATGAGCAAATATAGTCATATTGACTAGATACATTAAGAGTTTCATATCACCAGGTGCAGGTTTCTATAATTCAAAGATGATGAACAAAACAATCAATGGTGGTACAGAACTTTTATCAATTGATTGAGGCAGTTGCCTCCAATGTGAAGAAAGAAGAGAGGACATTTGAACATACACATGCACACTTAGAAAAGGAGGGAGAAAGAGAGAGAGAGAGTCAGAATGAACATCAATGTATCTGAACACATTCTTGCCATGTACAGTTAATATATTTATAAAATTAAAATATAACAATTGAATGTAGTCACGATATCTACACGACAGATTACTTGGCTTACATGAATTCAATAAGAGTATCCATGTATTGAGATTTTGATTCTATTTTGCATCTTCAAATCACAGTTACTTAATCCCTAGTATAAACACACAACCAAAAACATTGAACTATGATTGACTGCATTAAGATAAATAGATTAAACACAAAATATGTTGTTAAAGATAAACAGATACTTAAATCATAATAACAGAAGAAAATGGAGATATTGGCCTTGTAGACATGTCCATTCCACCGATGACTCCCTAAAATTTAGGATGAACGTCAAACCCACTATATTTTAAAAGACATTTAGAGATGTTCACTGCCTCACATAGAAAAACTAGTACACCCACCATACTGCACAAGTGTACTTTCTTCTTTTTAAGAAATTGTCTTCATCAATGCAGGTAAAACCTGATTCAGTCCAATACTTAAAGAAGAAAGAAGAAGCTTTTAGCATACTTAGTACGAGAGTCATACCACTCCAACAAAAATTGAAAAAGCATAGGCATAACCAACCCAAGCAGGATCTCCTCGTTCCAAAGACTGCAAAATGTATCAAGTTAATCAAGAGAACTGGCTACTGCAAATGGAAAACGTACTCATGAAACAGTAAATTATTTTGCAGTCAAACTGAAAAAAGAAGCATTAGACCATATTACGACAATTCTCCAGATACCCATGAAAGACCACTTCCTCTCACATTTATATGGTTTAAAATTTGTACTGGCTCACCTATAGTACCAAGCTTGAGAACTCTAGAGCTTCAACATCTGAGTGAGTTGGACTTTCATTTCTTAATTAGACCATTTCTTTTATGTGACTTTTTTACCATTTTCCAAAAACTAATTTCTACAATTGTAATTGGTTGAAGCTTTTGACAACATTTAGAAACCCTTTCAATAACCTTAAGAGTTCAAGTTTTAAATAAAGAGAAAAAATTATGGTCCAATACAAAAAGCATACAAGATAAAGTTGTTCACACGACTAAAAGGTGGATGAAGATATTGGGGTTGCACTGTACATGCTAGAATTAATTGAAAAAATACATATTATGAAGCCAGAACTTGATTATTAGCCTCATGTACTTAGAAAGACTAACATAAGATGATATCAACTGAATTTTCATATTATGCTGTCATCAGACAACCAGCAGTCAACAATAGTCAAAATGACAAAGAAAGATGACTTTTGCACAGCATAGAGCCAGAATCCATAACCAAATCACTTTTCCTGATAGGATGTACAAGTGTTTCTTGAACATGGATGTTTGGTATATCTTAGAATTGACTTGAGTGTTGATTCTATCCCAAAGCCAGCTTCATTTCAGCTTAGATCAGGAAAAATATTCACCTATTAGAAGACTGGATTGTAGGATGCACGTGTCATGCATGACTACATTTTTTTGCTTCACGCCCAGTAATAAAAAGAAAAAGAGGTTATCTGCATCATTCAACATGGTTATGGAAACAAGGAAAAAACAAAATTACCGTTAAGAGATGATTTAGTATCATGGGCCCTATGAACTGGGAAATATCATAACCAATCTGCAAGACCATCAAAATTATTCAATCAGTTTAAGAAACTGTTATATGTTTCGTTGTATGTGTATATGCAGAATTATGCTTTCATGGGAAAGTATAATCTCCTCATAACTTCAAAAGGAACCAGAGTTGGAGGCAGTACTGTCTCGTTTGGATGATATGAACTAGAGTTGGAACTAATACTAGCTCATTCATATGAACTTAAGAGAAAATAATCTGAAAAATCACATATTGGACTGCAAAGAGATACTCATTTTGATGCTGAACTCCAATAATTCTGATGCTTTGGTGGAAAGATTCTTTAACCTAAAATTCACATAATAAGATATTTTCAACTTCAATTTTTCCAATTCTAATTTATCTCTCCCCTTGATGCATTGTAAAATTTGAAATGTCTAACCTGAATATATAAAGAACAAATATTCTGGTGATACCCGCACTAATCAACTTGATTTAGTCATTATTCTACATTTGGCTTGATAAATACTAGTCCACATATATGTTCTTTTTTTAGTATACACGGATAAATATTAAATGATAATGACATTGAATTGATTGAATAAAAACAAGTTCTTGGCTAACATTAACTTGTGGCAAAAATGACTTTACATAGTAGCTTATTTCATTATATAAGATGAGACAGTACGTGGCTCTAATAATTTGTTACTGACTGAAAACTAAAAGTTAGTCAAGACAAACCATCAGATGATGTATCAATTCTGGAAACTTTCATTAAAATTCTCTCCTCTTGCAACAAAATCTAAGAAAGTGTATAGTATAAGATTTTTCTTGAAAGAAGTGAAGCATAATTAGCTCCCAAAAAGCATAAAATCTAGTCATGCAAGGCCCTGCCTAGATGGCTCTACGTTGTATCATAGTATCAGAAACTAAATACATTTCTGGACTACAGAACGAGTAACATTTATAAGAAACTCACCTTGAAGAGGCCACCATACCAAAACCTGCAAAAACAAAAACAATTATATAGTGGGGTGAAAAGGCAGAATACCATCTATTGAAGATACAGCTAAAGCAATATCAACAATATAAACCAAGACAAGTGCTTTATCCGCCCTGCCCCCAACCTCCCACCCCACTCTCACAGAAGTAAAAATCATTCATAAACCTAATGACCAAATAGCCACCTGCTTCCAAGGCTACAATTCAATGCACGTAGAAGCCATGGCTTTGGTCTTTGAGATTCTTCAGCCCAACATTGATGGAACCTAAGTCATAACAGAAATGAAATTTAGTTCAACAACTGTTTTACACAAGTGGAAAGAGAAAACTGCAAACTAACTTTTTAATCAGTGTCTCAGTCTGATCCCAGGAATCCAGTTTCCAAACATCCTTATCAGTTATTGGTCTTTTGTAACCTTGTTGCATGAGGGGGGTCATCCATCCAAAATATATTCCTGTCACAAGATGGTACTCAATTATGATTCGTGTTATGGGAAAACATCAAAGCATAACAGATGATATCAAGACATGAACTTAATCTTTGGCTACCATCACCACCTCGTCTAAGACTGAAAGCCAATAGGGATGAGAGTAATCTATTTATCACATTCTATTGATCTCTTAAAATAAACAGTCCATGTTGCTATATCTGCTATACCACTTGAATTGATGTTTTGGTCTGGAAAGTAGAATAGGTTGATTGTCAATTAAGCAGCATCAATAATTTAACCATGTAGAGGATGTAAATTCTGATTAGAGCCTTGATCAGAGTTCATTAAGTTACCATAAAGAGCACTGATGGGGTTCTAATAAATATTCATGTCCATACTAACCAAGATCCTCCCCAGTTCACATTCTTAGGAATTTAGGTACCTGCCATGAAGGACTTTAACATAAAGCTACTTACTGTCCAACAAATTGGCATGTCGCTCTGGACAAATGTCTTCTCCAAGGAAAGTATCATGTTTATTTTCATCAGCAGATTCACCAGATAATGGGATGTAGCCAGGGTAGGATTCCAGTTGTGGGACATAAACAAGAAGCAGCACTCCTAACAAAACCTAATGCAGAATATTTAAGGCAGCACATTACTTTTGGTAGAGCTTTGTGAAAGAAAGTTCAAATCTCAATTCTTCTTGACAGCCATGCTCTAATATTAGACGCGGACATTGAGCTTTGCATTTGTTAATTGTACTATTAGGTTCTTCTCTACAGCTTGGTATAAATGTGCTGGCTTTAGATTTAAGAGATTACATTAAGCATTTGACAACTGAAATCTTTGTGTGTTGAACCTCAAAAGTTATACACAGAGGAATTAGTTGACCACCTGGGGAGAGATGACCTATAGATGTAGCAATGCTCATCTACATCTATGTGCATGTGAAACATGTGTCAAGAAGCCGATTATAACAGTAATGATAGAAGAAGTTTTGCAGCCTTTATCACTTAATTATCCTTCAATAAAATTTTAAAACTAATCAAGCAAATACAGTTGGTAACTCCATACAGAAACTAAGTTTACATTAAATGCCTTCCAGAATTTTTTAGAGTAAAGCCTGGTTGCACTATAGACTTCCTACATTGCCCAAAATCTTTATGGATCACTGCATTTAATTGCATATTATTGATGTGTAACAGTGGCAAACAAAATTAACTCTCATTTGCCAAATCAGAAAAGAAAACTGAATGTACCTGGCAGGCAAGTGTAGAGCAATATAGATACAGTACCGACCTGCGAAATTACAGAACTGGTAAAAATCTGCTACCAAACATCATCCAGTAGAGACATCTTATGGTTTACAAAAATGGTAAAATTATGTCAGAAAGTTTCATCCAACTATTTTGTTACAGATTTTAGGCATTACCAAGCTATAAAATTTATGTGTTCTGCTGATATCTATTATTTATCATCTTTTGTTACCTATTTGCAACTCTTTAGTTAAAGTAAAGTTGCATTCACCATCTTGAAATATCTGCCACTAACCACCTACAACAGTTCAAGGCCTTTGAACGACGTGTTGTTCTCCATTTTCATTTTCTCAATGTATGCTTTATAAATCTCTCAATATTAAAATACATCTCCAGTTCCCCTCGAACAGGGAGTCATTCTATTTATCTTTGACGTGCAGCATTGGAGATTACATATGTTGATAAGATAGATTTCCAGCACCCACCCTGATGATCCAAGTGTTAAAACTTTCCTACTGACATTTTGACTCTATTCATACTTCCTGCGGGACATTGTTATTTTTATGACATGGCCTATAAACGTTTATCTTAAACACAAATTTAATAATGCGGATACCAGAAACTTAATTTTTCAATTTATCCAAACTGCATTTAGATGGAGCTATCAATGTGAAGTTAGCATAGAAAACTGACCTAGACCTTGCAGCTGTACTAAACATAGAATTTAGATAAAGAATAGGAACACCATGGACAATAAGCAACTTACCTTGGACAAAAATCCCTCAGTGCAAATATTAAATTGAACATCACAGCATCTGCTACCAAAACATAAACCAGTCCAAATCGGACATACCACCGGAACTTGCTAATGTAAATTTTTGTTTCCAAGCCCAGCATAGACACTAATGAGAACCATGCAAGTGCCTCAATTCCCAATGATAGCATCTGAACAGAAAACAGGTACTTAAAAGTGGTAAACACCTAGTGAAGCACCATAATGTAAACACCTAGTGAAGCACCATAAATTAAGGAAAATATGGCCTGCTAAACTTAGTCTCCAAATCAGCACTTCTTCACCACCAAATGTATGCGTCAAATATCTTCTCAAGCCCAAAACTTGTAATTTCTTTTGCAAGGGATTTCAAGTTCTTTTCCATATCAGCATATTGATAGTTAGGCAAAGTTGACAAGAAACAAAGTGAAAAAAATGTTTCTATACTCATAGTTCTGAGAGAGAGTTACGTCTTTGTTTTATAAGGAACTTGAACCTCTTGAGCGTTGAACAGAAATAAAAATAATATTTACATGTAAACAACCATGTCCATTGGCAGCATATCAAACCATTTCTCTAGTTGAGCAAGAAACCTTGGAGTAGCATAACAACAACAACAAAAGCGCACATGTCAAAATAATATCCTTGTTTACAAGGTAATCCTGCTAACTTGGAAACTGAAATGGGCATATGACTTTAATCATTAATCAAATACTCAAAACAATTCTAAGCTAAAAAATTCGCAAACGCTTAATGAAGCAGACACGGGATGCAACTACTACCCTAATATCACATATTGGTCACAGATAGCTACATAGAGTTGAAGAACAAGTATCAAACAGTTAAAATAGAGGAAAATCAGAAACTTTCAAATGTGGAAATGCCCACCTCAAATGGAGCCAGACAACTCTGTGCATCCAAATTGAAAAGTGAAATGCCCATAGTCAATCTGAACAAGGGCTCAGCAGCACAAAACCCGGCCAGCAATGCCAAAAAAGAATTGTACAAATTTGACCTCAATCGATATCTCTGGATCCTGTAATCCATCTTAGTCAACCATATTCTATATAAACACAATCCCAGAAGAACCAAATGGGACACACACCCCACTACAGAATCTAAGGCGCAGGGTGTGTATGCCCCAAAAGCACTCTCTGTTTCCTTTGCCCAAACCCCATTCTCCACTGGTCTGCAATACCAAATTAATAGCTTGAAACCCATTTTCTGAGTCTCCAATTGGATCACACCGTTTCTATTTCCAGCAGAAATTACTGGGATTTCACTAGAAAATTTGTCTGCATTCTGAAACTGTGTAGTTCCTAGTCAATGCATATCCCCGTAACACAAAGAAAGACTAAGTTAGCTCCAATTGAAAGCCAAATTAAACTCAGCCAACTAACGTTACTACTTTTAATAAACCAACAAAGTCAACTAATTATTCAAGAAACCTTGGAAACTAACCCGTTTATTTTAAACTCTCGGTCTTTGTCATTGCTGTTGTTTCGCTATTATAAGGTGAGCATCCACGATTTAAAAATTTACGTTATACCCTCTTGAATGATACCGATCAAAGGTCGACCTTCTTGATAAGAAAAGACAGGTACCATTTTTCTGATCAAAGGTCAATTAGTAAATACAGTAGCTTATTGCCCCAACTTAGTTCTCTACTTGCTACTCTTTCTGATTAAAATAAAACAAACGTAAAAGACCTGGAAACTCACCCGTTTATTTTAAACTCTCAGTCCCTTTCATTATCGTGGTTTTGCTATCATAAGGTGAGCATCACGGCTTGGAAGTTTATGTCAAACCCTCTTGAATAAGACTGATCAAAAGTCAATTTTTTTTTTTTTTTATATAAGAAAAGCTCTGATCAAAGGTTTAGGAGGAGAGGAAGCGATCAGGTGTATTTTTTTAGTGGTTTAAGGTAAATTCTTACCAATTTTCTATCACCGACAGCTTGGCATGCTTTGCGCTTTCTTAACGGCATGATTTTCACTTCTTGATATAAATAAACATCAGAGTGGCCACTAAGATTAACATCAGAAGATCAAGACAAAAGACAATATGAGTTTGTTTGGACAAATAGTTTTTGGTTGATTTAACTTGAAAATTTGAGATGTATGCTTTACCTTAGCTGATATCTGGTTTTGTGCCTGATGTTAGCATTTTGAATTATGGCGGTCAAGTGTGGAGAGAATAGAAATGCCACCGTGTAACTTTTGTCAGGAACCTATTTGAGTTTGGTGCTGAATGTAGTACGCCGGTCCCACGGTTTAATTGATTGCCTTTCTTATTCATTCACTTGTCCGAAATTGATGAATTGGAAGGCTTTTGCCCAACATAGTTCGCGGGTCCCATGCTGTTTGACCATCAGCACTCTTCATTGAAGCGTTGGGATCTGATGCTCTGGACTTTATTTGGAAGCGAATTGTTTTATGTATCCTTCCATATATACCAGCAGCAATTGTTGGACAGGAAATGAACAGTAATGAAAAATGCAAATAAAATCAAAAAAACACAAGGCCACTTACTTATTAAAAAAGTCCAATTTTGACTTTAATTATAGATTAAATCTTACGACATATTATATATTAAATCTTATTACCAGATTTTCCAAGAAAGCCAGCCCCAAGTTTTTTATTCCAACCTGTCAAGCTACCACTACTAAAAATATAAGACTCACGGTACAAATATCACACGATATTAATACTCCGATTACAACCAAATCTTATTTTCAACAACAAACTTATTTTGAGTACGAACGAAGAGGATATATGGGCATCACAAATACCAGGTACTTCTTAATACTATGCAAGCCTCTAACTAATAGCAAATCTTTAATTGAACTGCTTCATGCACGGTGTCGCGTATTTCTATAGATATTGAACATATGTGTCGCCATTGTATCTCTCATGGCAGTCCATTGTTCAACAACTTCAGGAGGAGAATGCAATGGCTATATCTCGGGATATGGATGAATTGCACCATGACTTGTTGGATCTCCCTCGTCTGGGTTAACAAAGTACATATCATTCGGTTATTGATCTCTAATGAAGTTATGCACGGCACAACAGGCAATAACTACATTTATCTGTGTTGTCATCATGTAGTTTGGAACGGCTCCCCATAAAATGGCAAATCTCCTTTTAAGGACACCGAAATTTCGCTCTATGACATTCTGTAGTGCAGAGTGTCGGTAATTAAAAAGTTCTTTCGCAGTTGCAAATCTCCCCCCTCCTGTGACCACTAACATCCGCTTGGCGTCCCCTATACGGTGGTAAGAAACCGGGCAAGTTTCGATATGCGGAGTCAACTAAATAATATTTTCCTGTATCGCCATTACGAGAACCAAAGGATTATTTGCATTTTGTACTTTGCAGGTATAGTTATTGGCTATATTCCAACGGCCCAGCCAAGGGTTTGATACACAATAAAAGATGATCATAGTTCTTTTTTTTTTTTGTTCGCGTAACAAAAAAAAAGTCCCAACTAGCAAAGGTTAACTAAAATCACTGTGAAAAAGAAAGTTATAAGACATACCGATATTTTGAATTATTTGAAATAGGATAAAAAAGTACATTTGTGGTAGATAAATTACGAGGACGGAGGGATTGCATATTATACCTGTAGGTGGCACATGAAAGTGATTTGGGCCGGTCAAAGCCCTATCCAAGACTCGGGCATCATGTGCGCTTCCCTCCCATCCGGCATACACATATATAAATCGTATATCATGGTCGCATACAGCCATAACATTTTGCGATTGTATACCATGCCTATTTGTGTATGCCACTTGCTGTCGTCTTGGGACACAAGCAGGTATATGAGTCTCATCAATAGCCCCAACGCAGTCCTTCAAAAAGAAATTATTAACTGGATGAGGTATAAAACAATAGACGAAAAGACACGTGTTCTACATACACTATTAATTGGGTACACGATACAGACTTCCACTTGTTTCACATACTAGCTCCAAACACCAAAGGGTATAAATATAAATTAGGGTAGGGACTTTTTTCCCACAATTTTTTCGCCAATTATTAGTTGCCCTGATATGAAATCGTATGGTGAACTGTGCTCGTGTTGAACGGTACACATCACCTGCATTAGAGTAGGGTTTGCATGAAATTTGAAAACAAGAAGATGTATATCTGAAAGCAATTTTGATATCACCGTACTTCAAACCAAGGATAAAATCTCGTGTCGCTAAGAATTTTCGGATGAATTGCATCCTGGTTTCCGAGAGTAATGATGAATTGCGCGAATGTGCATAGGCCCCGGATGACTTCGTGAATATTACGATGCACCGTCTCCGTGGAATGGTTAAATCGGTCAGCAATCATACGCATTCTCATATTGTGGCTCATTATGACCAATGTCATCAGAAGTGCCTCCTTTATTGTAACCCGTTTCTGATAATATTGGGGAACAAATCCACATTCGGCCAAGAGCGAGCACAACTGCATGAAAGAATCAACATTTAACCTTGTTGCGTCCATAATTCGTGTATGGTGGCCTGACATCACTTATTCAACCCAGTCACGTCCTGATAATGTAGACATCCTGCAAGGCACCTTTTGGATTGGACCTCCATATGGTTTTGCATGTGGTCCAAATAATAGTGTAGCACCAGCAACAAATAGAAGATCATCTTCATCCGAAGACGAGCTCGTGCCCTGACCATCACCGGGATCACTCATTTGGCCCTTTTTTGAACTACTAGGAGGTATAACCGCGGCGTTGCGCGGTGGAATAATCAGCATGCATGCCCATTTAGACGGGTTTAAGAAGGGTTTATATAAATGGTGATGGTGTGATTGGATTAAATATTAAGAGTACAAGATATTCTAAAATCGATCACTGCAAGTATGAAGAAAAAAATGAAATTCGATATGATGTAGAAGGAAAAAGATGTTGTCTGTAAAGATACAAGGATGAGTATTAAATGTAAATGTGGTCTAATTGGTTGTAATTCTGAAATTGACTGGTGTAGTAGAAAAAAAGGGTTCGTTTCAGTTGTCAAATTGTGCAGCAAATTGATAGATTAATTCAATACGCATACAGAATCATGGCAATCAATGTGCTACTTGGTTCCAAAAGGCAGGTGCTCTGATAAATAAACGGATAAATATACCAAATGGTGATAAGTTTTTGGGAGTTACATGGTATAAAATCCATTCCTGACAACAATGTAGTCGATTAACAACAGAAAATTGTGGGACAAATGTAACAAGATAATCCGGTAACTGAATTATTTCTCGTTTTAGAAAAAGAAATGTCCTTACAGATATAACAAGAGGGTTTAAAATTTGCAGAAATACTAATATATTAGATGTGAAATGTATGATGCCATTGATACATGATTTCTTTTTTATTCCATGACCCTACTTACCCTAGTTCCCTAGTTTAATGCATAAACGACGTATTAGCGCAGTGAAAAAAAATGGAGGTGCCCAATTTAATCAAATGATTTGTACATATTCAAAATGGATCCATTTAATAGAATTGTTTGTGTCTGATGGAACTTAGTTACAGATAAACCAAAAAGAAACCTATAACAAAGAGGGTCTAATAAATTCAATAACGAATTGGCCTAAACTAATTACATTGATAAATAAGAAAGCATGCAGCATGGAGCTTGAAATGCACAATGCATCTTTCCCCTATCCAAAAGCAATTTTGTTTCTACTGCCGCCCATGGCAAGATTTGCTAAGTTCTCCCGCAACAACCTAATCATGAAATTATAACGATAAAATCTTAGTATATATTCCATTGCAATTAGCAATGGACCTCGGCACCAATACATGGAAACTGGAAATGGGTCAGGAGACATTGATTGATCCCAAAACAAACAAGATAAACTCGACAACTTTAAAACTTGTAATATTTATACAAAATCTTAACCACATTTTCTCCTCTTAAGAGGAGCATGATATATATTTTGTCTATTATTAAGTATCAAAGAAAAGAGATCTAAAGAATATTATAAGTTGTAAAGTTAGAGCAACTTGCATAGTAACTCATAATTCCACCAAAGCAGATAAATTGGCTACTCTGCTATTTCCAAAGAATTGGAGTTAAAAGAATTCCGAATGCAATCTATTGCAGTATGACCATCCATGTATATCACCCAAAGGAAGAAATTGGAAATAGGTTAACTAACAAATGATCCTAATCTGAAAGATAAATTTGACAAGTTCTAACTCCAAAATATCCCAACATATTAAACTCATTCCGTTGTCGTAAAAGTGTAACATTGAAATAGCAACTATATTTTTATTTTTTTTGGAGGAGGAGCAAGGAAGGGGCATAACACAAAGTCATTGGAATGATCCTAAAATGCAAAAACAAAGTGAAAACTTATTCATCATAGGAAGGACATCTTTCTATTATGTTAAAACAATACTCCATTCCAAAAGTCAGAGGCATTGACATATAAGCTAGATTGCATGGTTGCTTTTATCCTCGGAGAAGCTTGAGATATTCTCATCTAAGAATGCGTTTTGTAGATCTAAAATTTAAAATCTTTTGTGTCTGAAAATTTTAAGGTTTGATAGCTCAATTTTTCATTTAGCATATGATAAGAAGTATTAAGAAACTATAAAATCATGACGGAATATTTCTGTACCTGTAAAGGTAAAACCAAGGTTTGTATAGAAACCTTTATAGGGAAATTTTCCATGGTATAATAATCGAAACTTAATATTTGACACT